ATGGACATGGTGAGTCCGGAAGGAGAGAGGCAGTAACCGAGATATTCCGTAGTGTCCGTATGGAACTCGCATTTCTTCGGATTGGCGTATAGGCCGTGTTTGCGGAGTCTCCTAAGAACTTCTCGGACATGCTCCTGATGCGAAGCCATGTCTTCTGAGTAGGTAAGGATGTCGTCTAGGTAGACTACCACAGAAACGTCCAAGAGGTCGGCAAAGATCATGTTGACGAATCGCTGGAAAGCCGCAGGTGCATTCGTGAGACCGAATGGCATGACAAGCCACTCATAGGAACCATAGCGCGTGCAGAAGGAAGTCTTCCATTCGTCGCCTGCTGCAATGCGAACCAGGTGGTAAGCATGCCGGAGGTCGAGTCTGGTATAGACCGTGGCACAGCTAGGTGCGTCAAGGAGGTCGGAGATGCGGGGAAGTGGGTAGCGATCCTTTTTGGTGATCTTGTTCAGCCCTCGGAAGTCGACGCAAAGACGGAGGGATCCGTCCTTCTTGCGGACGAAGAGGACCAGTGCCGCGTGAGCGGAAGTAGTGGGATGAATGAAACCGGAGGCCAGGTGTTCATCTAAGAACGCCCGGAGGGCCTCGAGTTCCGAAGGAGAGAGAGAGTACATGGTACCCAAGGGTGGGGAGGTGCCTTCCTCAAGGTCGATCTTTAGGTCGTGCTCACGGTGCGGTGCCAGCGTCGAGGCTTTGCTCTTACTGAACACATCCGCGAACTCGTGATACTCCTTCGGAACGGCCGAGAGGTCGACGGAATCAGGCGGCTTTCCTCGGAAGGGATGGTTAGGCTGAAGGATACCGATCCTTCAAGTCGGCAAGCCTTCGCGAATGCGGAATGGCTGACGAACTCGATAGATGGCAATGGAGGAGTAACAGCCTGTGACCGAGGTGCTGGCGAAACATCAGATGGTTGGATGTCGGACGACGGCAGTGGTGCCGGAGACGACGGGGGAGAGCTCGGAGTGACTGTCTTGGTAGGTTCGGAAGTTCGGAACGTAATACTGCTTGAGACCCAGTCAATCAACGGATTGTAGCGGGTAAGCCAGTTGTGTCCTAGGACTAGGGAACATGATCCATCCAGCGATGTGACAAAGAAAGTCGTGGGGGTGATGTTTCCGGAAGCGAAGTGGAGGGGAATATCAACGGCACGGGTTATGATCGAGTTGGTGCTACCGTCGAATAGGCGTAGTTGTAGGGGTTTGATCTGGTATGTCTTCAAGGCCAGCTTTTTTACGAAGGTGTCGTCGATGAAGCAGTCTGAAGACCCAGAATCTACGAGTGCGGGTACGTTCTCATAGGAGCGGAAAAGTTTATTTTGTGTCCTACTATTGGACGGAGGAGAAACAGGAGGAGAAAGAGAAGAGAAGTGGAGAGAGGTGGATCGATCTACGGAAGTAGTCGAAGGGGGTGGAGGAGAGAGTGGTACATCAGCAACACTATCTACAATGGGTAGAACATTGCCCGAAGGGTCAACATTGAAAGGAGAAAATAGACCATTTGAAAGAGAAAAGGAAACGGGAATGTGGAGGGAGGATAAGTCGGAAATGGAAGACGCGTTTAAACACACTTCTTTGAGCGCATGGAAGGAAGGATCGCAACCCCCGGTCCGTGCGGAGTCCACGGGGGTGCAGACTAATTTTTTGCTTCTGTGGAAGCGGATCCTTGTTCCTCGGTCTGGGCCGAACGGGCCTTAGACGCGCGAGAAGAAGACTTGGGACAGTCCTTGACCATGTGGCCAGACTGACCGCAGAACATACAAAGTTTCTCGTCGAGACGACGCTTACGCTCTTGTGGCGTGAGCTTGCCGTTGTCTCCGAGTTTAGAAGAGAGGTCCGGTTTAACGGAGCTGGCCTCGGACTTCTTATTGTCCTTCGGAGGCCTACTACCGGAAGCGGAGTTAAAAGAGGAGGAGGAAGGGACGGGGTCGGAACGAGAAGCGGCAGTGGACTTGTCGAAAACGTTAGAGGAAGAGGGTTTCGCGTGACGTGTAACTTCCGATTTACGCTCCCAATAGCGCGCATCGAGAGTTTGGGAAAGGGTGCGAAGCTCAGAGAGAGTAGAGGGTTTACCTACTCTGGCAATATCATCCTTGATACGTTCCGGCAATCCGTTGTAGAAGAAACGACAAAGCATGGCTTCTCCATAACCGTGAAGTTGAGAGGCGTGTCGATTGAACTCGACGACGTATTTGTTGATGTGGTGCCCGTCCTTCATGTCCAGTGTCATCAGTTGAACCTCGGCATCGCCCACAGGATCGTGAGGGCCGAAGTTAGTTTGAAGTTCATTGACGAACTCTTGATAGTCGTTCATCCATCGCGGACGAAGCGTGGAATTCTGGTCGAATAACAGGTCCGGCTCGAACCAATCGAGGGCCATTCCCTTGAGGTAGGACTGCACAAATATGACTTTAGCGCGGTCGCTAGCGAAAGCGAGGGGACGGTCCTGGAAATTGAGCTCGCATTGGACCAAGAATACTCGGAGTTCTCGGGGATCCTTTCCGTCGAACTGCTCGGGTTCGCGGACCTTGGTCCGGAGAGCAGAAGATGGTCGTCGTCGTCGTCGTTCGGTGTGATGAGCCAGACTGGCAATGGCTTGGGCCAATTGTGTAATGGCCACGTTGGAGGTGGGTTCGGCATCGTCGGTGGTTGGGACAGTGGGGATGGGAGGATCAGCAGGAGGAGGGTCGACGAAGTCGGGGACCTCGGAACCGAGTCCAAAGAAGTGGACGGGATCTATGGGTTGTTCCGTGGTGTCTCCGAAGTCGGAGTCTGCAACTGGTGATCGATTCCTAACGGGGCGCATGGTCGGAGTCGATGGGAGAGGGGTTTCAAGGTTAGAAAAGCTTCGAAACTCAACTGGGTTTCTCGCCAATCGACTAGGACCAGGCTGAGAGGGTTCTGGGGAAGGTGAAGCGGAGTTGGGAACTAATGTGCGTAGTTGCGAACGAGTGCGAAGGACTTTTGGTGCCATACAAGATGTGTACTAGTCAGGGAGTAGAAAAATACTGTCAGAGACCAGATTCGAGACGAAGGAATGTCTCCGTAATGGAGGGCTTCGGCCTCAGCGACTTCTGCCAAGAGCGCTGTGCCTAGTGACACGTCCGTGCCCTAACTTACTGACTGGCAATTAGAACCTAGGGGGGGTAACTCTAGTTGATTTTTCTACTGGGGCGTAACCTATGTACAAGTGGGATATATATATGGTTACAGCGGAGACAGTTCCGCAATTGGCGGAGCCGAACGGAGCGGAGCTAACGGGGTTTAACCATTAGCCGACTGAATATTACCGACGAGTCGGTTTGCGGGGTTAGCGGAAAGGCAGGCAATAACCCAGAAACGGAAAGGAGGGATAAGCCTGAAGGTGGGCTCTGCAGGGCAGGCGATTGTATTGCTCAGCGGAGGCGGGGGTGCGCTAGCGGACGTCGGAGCTGTCCGGAAGTCTTCGGGGCTCCGTACTTAGGGAGGCGTAGGTAATAAATTGAAATGAGGGGGTGGTGACCATCAAGGGGTACCGAGAGGATTGCGGAATAACAGGGGCTCCGAGGTTAGTGAGGGAGGAGCGGAGTTGGAACGGAGGGATCGGAGGGACCGGAAGTCGATGGCCGGGAATGGATATGACAGGTACATCTGAAAGGAGATAGGGAGGGCGAAGCCCAGAGGGGCAGGAGGATGAGGTGAAGTGGGGATGATGACTAACTGGCTAAAATGGAAGGAAGCAGTAGTCCAAATAAGGATGAGGGGAATCATGAAAGATACATTACAAGCAGTGAAAGTGCCAAGTATGGTCTGTGAAGCTTGGAGGTTGCAGAGCTTACAGAGGTTGCAGAGGCAGGGTTGAAAGTCCAAGGAATATTGGCAATGATGTTTATGTGGAATGAGGTCACCAATGCAATGGACTTAAGCCGAGGTGGGGTCAAAGTCCAAGGTTGGGACCATGATGGAGTCTTTTGGAGCAAGGTATGGGTGGTGTCTGAGTATGAGGTACAGGATGGCAGCGGAAGGTCATAACTTGGCAGAGGTTTGGTGGAAGAGGGGAGGAGGGAGGAGAGTGATGAGAGGAGAGGAGTGGGAGGAGGAATGGTGTCAGGTCTGAAGGTGGATATCGGAGTGGATGGAGGTAGGTAGGTGTCAGGGCACACCCACCTGACCTGGCCCCACCCGGCCCCACTTCACCCAGTACCCTGCCACCCAGTCTCCTCCTACCTCCTCCCCCCTTCCTCTTTCTTTCTTTCTCCATTTCACTTCCTCTTCACTTATTTCACTTTCTCTTTATTTTCTCTTTATTCTACATAGACGACCTTTCCCTGTATCAATGTACCATTGACCCACCCACAGTGTGCTCATGACATGCCCAGCCCAGGCGCCTCAGGTGACCCCCTGCTATGTCCAGCTCGTGCATTCACAGCGGACGCCCTCGGGATCCCCCACGGGGACACCCAGGTGACTATGGCTGTATGCAAGGATGACATGGCACCTGTCATGTGACCCAAGCTGCATGTATATAAACATACCTGAAGTGGGAACTGAAGAAGTAGCCTTCTTCTCACCCTTTTCCACTTCAGGTAAGTAGCATAGCATTCCCCTTTTAATAATAATAACACCCTTTTCCACTTCAGTCTAAGTGGCCAGGGACTGTCTCCTGAGCCAGGCCCACCAGTACACACACCCACTCCACACCCCACAAGACTTCTAGTGTCAGGTGTCTCACTTGGGCCTCCTCTACCCTGGACGCATCCCTGACAGTAGGAGAGGGACAGAAGGGGAGGAGGTGACATGGGGAGTGAGGGGGGGGTGTGATGTTCAGTCTGAAGGTGGATATCGGAGCAGACAGAGGTAGGGTAGGACTCCAGAGGTGGTGAAGCAGAGGGTCCAGGAGTCGGGTCAGGATCAGGTATGTACAGATATGACAGCCACCCACTGAACTGCATGGTGATAATATTCATGACAATGCAAGAATAAACTAGCTCCTTCAAATGCTAAAGCAATCACTCAAAGAACAATCCTGTTCCTTGAACGAAGGTCATGTTCCAGACCATCCATCCCTTCATTCCAATAATCACCCTCAAGCTCAAGCTCAAGCTCATCACTACTGCCATCTGATACAGGGCTGCTTGTCTGGCTTTCAGACATATGCTTTAGTTCATCCAGCATCTTCCAAATTGCCACTGACAGTTGTTTTTTAAGCTTATCCTCAAGGGAGCAAGCAACTTCATAAGATATTCCCATACTGGGAAGGGCCCATGGGAATATTCGACCATGTGAGCCTGGGAGGCTGAACTGGATATCTGTTGAGTTCAGGAGGGTTGCCAGCATGTTGCAGCACCAGCAACATTTTTTAGCCACTCCAATTGTCCTCGACTTATTGGAAGTGCTCTTCAAAAGAAAGGTTAGCAGCATGCCACCACCAAAGATGTAGGACACTGACAACTTACAAGAAATATCTCCGGAAGTTGGGTATTTTGAATGTTATTAGCTTGGCCATTGTACTGCACTATGGCACCCATCAGCGATGCCTCGCAGTGGATTGTGCCATGAAACTCCTTGGACTTTCGAAGCTTCCTAACAGATTGCCAGTACCATGTATGCATCCTCGAGTTGCCGCCTCTGTATTGATCTTCCCAATCTTTAAGGGTTTTGTTGAATATATCCGTGAAGATTGGCACTGCATCTTCCATTGCTTTCGGCTCGACAGGAGGAGCGGTGATCACGAGATGGAGACAAAGCCTCGGGGTACGTCGAATACGTTTACTGGAAAATAAGAAATCTGTTGCAGTGATCCATGCTACAGCGTTACCAAGGTATCGCATGGTAAGAGCAACCAGATCCTCTTCTGTCTCAGCGGTGAGCTCTAAATTGTCGCCATGTTTGTCATCGGAGTCTTCTGTGTTTCCAGCATCGGAGCGAGCTGATGAAGAGGTTGTGCTTTTAGATTGTGGGGACAACGGAGACATTAAAAATATTATACCTTTCCGACGGTTTAACACCAAGATAGCGTTGACAGACCTCAGTCCAAGCAAATATTTGAACCCCTCTGATTCAACCAGTGTTTGGAGCAATTTTAGAGCAATCGCGCCCCTGGTGGTGTTACCTGCCACTTCCGGTTTGAAATAATCCTTGCACAATGACAGGCACGATAGAAATGCTTCCATCCAAGCTGGAGCCATGTCCTTCGTCCACGGTGCGAAACATTTCCCGTTGAACTGTCGACATTGGATGCCCACCGTCTGGAATAGGCGGATAAGGCGTTCTGGTATTTCACACTCGGTCTTCACAAAATGATCCCCGTCGCTAGGTTTCCATCCTTGGAGAATCTGATCTAAGGTAGTGTCTTGAAAGATGAACTTATCGGATCGGAGTCGATGGGAGATGATCGGTGCGCATCGTCGAACGATAAATTCAGTGATACGTCGAACGGCAAGGGCTTGTTCGGATCTACCTCGCCGTGCGGTACGGATATTATTGAATAATGACATGACGTCTGCTGCATGCTGACTCAGAGTGATATCGTCTGGGGGACGGTCGCTAAATGCAATGGTAATCATGGATCAGGGCGACGCGTAGAAAGGGGAGCCGATCACCTGCTCAAGAGTTCGTCGCGTTGGACGTCGTCTAGATTTTTAGGTTCAATCTCGGTAACACCAAATGCAACACAGTTATCTGATGTGAGATTCTGGGTGACAACAAAATCGTTTGAGAGCCCACTCTCAGGGGTATCTGGATATTCGTAATCGTCTCTATCAATCGTCGCAAGGATATTCACGGAATTCGCCGTCGTTCGCGTGGCGACTGCAATCGGTCGAATGTTCGGCCCCATTTTGCCTTTCCTCTCGTCCGCACCACGGGTGAGGAGCGTGGCAATATGCATCGCAACGTTGAACTCGATTGACGAGGGGCCTTTGGTAGGAGAGCCAGCTTGAGGATCAAGAATTGACAGGATCGTGGTAAGGGCACGGATTCTCAGGTCAATGTCGTGGATGTCGTGGGAGGCCGCGGTAGCTTGATGGCTTGCGCTTTGCGCTTGGCGAGCTATCGAACTCAGCATAGTCTCACTAGAAGTGGTAGACAGTATATGATTTCGTGGAGAGACAGTGAGGTCAGCAACCGAGGTTGTGACTGCCACGGTTTTGTGGCTGTGCCAACTATCCCAAAAATGGCGGGATGTTTTCCTCTGCACACAATGAACATAAGTCCCTAACAAACATGGAATGGTGTCCGTAGTGACCCATATTAATGCACCTTAGGTTTTTTTTTTGAATGTGCTTCATTGTTCAGATAGGGAGGGAATCACTTGAAAAAACACTAAAGACGGTGTTAATTTGAAAATCAAAACCTACCAATACCTAGGCAGGGTCAACTTTAATTCAGCTGCAGGGACTTGAGACTATGAGATGAAAGAGAATTTTGCTTCAAAGATTTGGGTAGGCCCTTTTCGCACCAGAAATGCATTCACAGTCCACAGAGGAGGTTGGGATAAGTGTTAATACAAAGGTCAACTAGCATGGGTTCACAGTGGAATCAAGTTAGAAGGAAAGGCTGTTCTCTCAATCAGAAAAGGGCATCAACAGTCAATTAGTCAAGAATCCGACTGGGCCAACTGTATTCGGAATTCCGAATTTATTAATGTATTAATTATTGTTTAATGTTTTCATTTCACGGGACTAATCACGGGGCTATGATCAGACCCAACCCAGCTCATGCTGAGGTTTCCTCCACTCGATCATATCCTGCCGCTCCTGTCCTAGCACTGCCCACTCCCCTTTGCCGCTCCTACCAATCACGAGTTGCCGCGCAACCTGACTTCTCAATGAGTCTAGGTTTTTGCCTCAGCTGTATGCTGGGTGTTCTGGCGCGGATGCGCGGAACAGACCACACCAGCGGAGGTACGTACTGAAACTCCCTCACCGCGAGAGTGCTCACAGTTAGTCCAGCCCACGCTTATAAAGAGCGCCTGCACCTTTACTTTTCCCCCTCTCTATCACCTGGACTCATGCCGCTCTCGTAACTTGGCTTGCTTGTTTTTGCACTTCCCACCACCTCCCCTCTCTCCACCTTCTCATCTTTCCATTTCCACTCCCAATCGAATTCACAAACTGTCCGATTCACCAACTCTTTTCTCTGTCAATTCTCTTGACTTGCGCCGTACTGTCTGTTTTCCTTTGTCTTTGTTTTTTTTTTTTTTTTTTTGTCTGCATCTATGTTCCGCTTTTCCTTTTTTCTTTCTGTATTTTGTTATGCTTGTTATGCCTGCTACTCTGTATATGGACAAACGGGTCAACGGGTCACGCGTGGCTTGCTGCGCTTTGCCTAATATCAATTAGTCAAGAATCCGACTGGGCCAACTGTATTCTGAATTCCGAATTTATTAATGTATTAATTGTTGTTTAATGTCTCCATTTCACGAGACTAATCATGGGATAGCAACCTGCCATCAGCTGATCTCAGGTTCCCGCTTCCGCTTGCCACCACCACCACCACCACCACTGCTGCCCATAACAGTAACCTAACACCAACCTAAGCAGAGCCTGTCGCCTTCAACTTCAGATTAGTTTTGCCACACCCCCATCGCCTCTGTTGTCCTAACCTCCTTTCGTGTTGTGTTTCTTGGCTGCCCCTCACTGACAAAGCGTGTCGATCGCACTAACCTAGCCTTTTTCCCATCTCTTGCGCTATAGTTGTTGCCCTAGGACCCTTGCCACTTTTGTCCCCCTATCCCCTACCTCGTTTCACTCCTATTCTATCCATCTACTATGTCCGACTCCGGAGCCCAGACTTCAAACACAGCTATTAATGAATCCGACTTTATTTTGCCGGGGGTTGAATCCGTCGACGTCCAATCTAATCTCTCTCAAAACCAGCAAACCCTCCCATCGTCACCGCTCCAATGCTGCGAATTACTTGTCCGCAACCTCCCAGCCACAACGCCGGATTCCGCTGAGAGTCATCTAAAAAAGGTCGTCGCTGACCTACTTTCTTGTCATACTGATCTCATAAAAGTCGCAGTCTATCGTTCCTCTACGCATGGGAAATCTGTTGACTACGCCTATCTCCGACCCGATGCGTCGGTAGTCAATTCAGTTAAACAGGTGCATCACATGAAGAAATGGATTAAACCACTAGAGGATTTAGCCTTCGGAACAGTATGGAGTCCTATGTTTGGTGTGGATAACCTCAGGATTATTTCGCTGGTTTACAACTCAGATGGCGTTACCCCAAAGGATTGGGAAGCCCAGGTCTTGCACACTCTTGGCACGGTAAACATCCGAGCTCATTATGCCAGCGTCTACGGCTCTTCCACTGCTGTGTTGCTTCATTCACAGTCAGACGTCGCCCATCTGGTCGATTCCAGCCTGACCATTGGAAGAAAGGCCTATAGCGTAAAGTCTAAGACATGTGTCCAACCCCTTTGGCCATACGCGGGAGCTATAGTTGGCATGGCTCGCTATACCGATGACTTCACACAGCAGCTTGCCAGCATGGTCAAGACCCACTACCCTGCACAATTCCTAGGCTATACGATGGAGCAAGGAAATAACGCTTTGGTGTTTTATGTCAAGGATTGGGACACTATCCATGAGATCACCAACAATGTCTCTTTCTTCTCTGAATACCTCGCGTCCTCAGAGGCCGAGATCTCCCCTCCAAAACTTCTTTATCAACTCAATGGAAAAGGTTTTTTCATACCAAGGTCCACTGCAGCCACAATCAACACTCTCACAGTCTCCCATGATGCGAGTATGGCTAAAGTATATGACCAGCTGGCTCAACACCGCCTTCAGGTCGAGACAGTGACTGCCGGAGCTGACCGTGCTATCACCACTCTGACTGAACAGATGTGTCAGACTAATGAGGTTGTGAGCTCTATGTCTTCTGTCGTTCAAGCTCAAAGCCATGCCATAGCCATGCTTAACAGATTGATGGCTGGAATGGTACACACTATTGGCAGACAGATGCAGGTTTTGGGCCTTCATGAAGAGATTACTCTTCTTGTGTTGGAGCGGGATCATGCAAAGACGGATGCCAAGAAGGATGCCATCACCAACAAAATTATGGTTCTTCACCAACAAGTTCAGTCTGCTTCCGAAACGAATAGCGTATTGTTCAAGAGCCTCTCAGATCTCCAAATCGGCACCAGCATGACTATCGACTGCCTGTCTCCTCAACAGGCAATTCAGTCATCGTCCATCCAAGTTGATGACGCCAATATGGCCCTGGAGTCCCCAGGCACACCTGATGATCCTGGCCCATCAGCTAAACGCCATTGTAAGGTGCCGTATCTGATGCATTCTTTGCTCTTTCATGCCTCAGTCATTCAACTACATTGATCCTTCGATGCTCTCTGCCATCTAATCTTCTCTGTTCTTGGGCCCCCTTACTCACCCCCTGTTTTTCCTGCTTCTTCAGGGCTGAATTTCTGCTTGGTATCCGATCATGTTTCCCTTTCCCCTCCTGCTCCATCTCTTCCACTAGTTAACTTTCCCTCTGTCTTACCCCCTGCCTTGCTTGCTTCTTCAGGGCTGAATTTCTGCATGCTGTCCGATCACATTTCGCTTTCCCCCTCTGTTCCTCCATCTGTTCCTCATGTTATTTTTCCCTCTGGTTTACCCTTTCAGTTGGCACATGCAAGTGGACCTCTCCTGTCTACTGCTCCGACCTGTGTTTCAGTGTTCTGTTCTGCAGCTGTCCCAGTTTCCCTTCCCCATGTCTCAGTTGTTTCTTTGTCTGTGGCCTATTTGTGGGTGTACTTCTCTATACAAACCCTTGTACAGGCTTTGGTTTGCAACCCCCATTTCTTGTTGTTACCTTTCCTGTTCTTTCTCTTCTTACCGGGGGCCTGTCAGGGCATGCCGCCACTGCCACCTCCTTTCCTTCCGTCTCATCCTCTCATTCTCTCTTCTTTCCCTCTTCTCTTTTTTCTATCTTTATACAGACAACCTCTCTCTTTCTTTCCTACACTTGTAGCATGGATGCGCCGTGCACTCCTACTTGTACTTCCCCTCCAACACTCGGGATCGACCACGGAGCCACCCGCGGTAACCCGGCTTCGTCCGAAGGTGACGTGGCACTTCCATGTGACCCATTCACACATGTATATAAACTAAGCCGAAGCAGGACTGAAGAAGTAACCTTCTTCTCATTTCCCACTTCAGGCAAGTACCCTAGTTTAGTCTAGCTTCCCACCCTAATAACAATACATTTCCCGCTTCAGCCTAAGAAGCCACACAGGGATGTAAGCCCGGGTGAGGGCTGCCCACTATACAGTCTTACCGCCCCGCCGCCGTCCGGGCTGCTAGCGCCGAGCGCTACGCCGCTACCTCTGCCTCCCTCGAGCCGTCCCTGACAGGGCCCAAGCAACTTCAACGGATTTCAGTGTTCTTGCAGCTAACATGAACGGATTGGGAAACGCTTTCAAGCTCCATCTCATTACATCCCTCATCATACCCACTCTTCCTCTCGCTTTTGTTCTATCTGAGACCAAATCAACGACACCATCTATGCCCTTGTTGAGCCTTCCCAACTATATGGTATATGAGAGTCCAGCTTTGCCACTAGCCTGGCGATGTGGGAAATGGGGTCTAGCTTTGGGAGTGAGGAAAAACTTCCAAGTTTTGTGTCGTCTCTCTGTCCCTCCAGTTTTACAGGGCAGGGTAGTTGCTCTCGATGTTATCCTAGCCTCCTCCTCTCTAGCCCCCAAGGTCCTACAGCTTTTGGGAATATATGCCCATGCCACACGGGAATCCCTCCATTCTTTCTGGTCTGAAATTCGGAGCCTCATATTGCAAGAACCATTCCCTCACCTGTGGATGGCTGCTGGGGATTTCAATGTGACCATAGCCCCGAGGGAACGGTCATCGGGTGCTCTGTCACCAGAGGCTCTGATCTACCAAGATTTCCTCATGGCTTCGGACGCTCTCGATTTGAAGCATGAGGTGGATGTCAACTCAGATTACATGCTTAGGTCTTATGCGAATGGGGCCAAGTCAGTAGTGGATAGAGCAGTGATCTCATCCTCTCCAATCTTCTCCACATCCATCCAGACCCAGTGGGATTTCCTGGGTGCCACAGATCACCGTGCCATTCACATCTCTGCTCACATTCTTGGCTCAGAAGGCCCTTCTCTTGTGCCTTTCTTACCTCAGCGTTCCCTTCCACCTCCACATCTGCTCTATCCTTACCTGTCCAGCTCTACTAAAGCGAAATTTGATGATTTTGCTGGCAGGGTGGACCATGAAATAGCGGACCAAGGGCTCCTCACTCATGAGATTGTGTCCCTAGATGAGTTCGAGTTTGTCTATCGTGCTCTCTCAAAAATTCTACTCTCAGCAGGGGATGATGTATTCGGTCATTGAAGAGCTTTTTCACCTCAATTACGGCCTCCTACAATCTCCTCTCCTGAGATTAGACAAGTCAACTACTGCATTTGCACTGTTGGTGGTTTGTTGTTCCGACTTCACCAAGGTCCTCTGCCTTCTGTTCACTTTCTCCCTTTGCGACTGTGCCCAGAGTTCTTGCGTATTCCCTCTTCAATGGACCGTGAACATGCCATTGTTTTCCTCCGCCAACATCGGAAATATCTATTCAAGGAGCGATATTCCCATTCAAACAGACTAGCTCATGAATGCGCTTCATTGGCACACTGTTGAAAGGTGCTTGCCGTTCTTAGAGGCCACTCAGCGAAGTCTCTCATGCCATATGAGTTGGCAGCCGACTTGCCCTTGGTGGTAGAGGATCCTGACACACATCAGTTAGTATCAGGAGAGGAGGCAGTGAAGGATGCAACCATTCGCTACTTTACCAATTGTCAGAGACCAGGTCGAGACGAGGGAGTGTCTCTATGATGGAGGGCTTCGGCCTCAGCGACTTATGCTAGGAGCGCTGTGCCAAGTAAACACATCCATGCCCTAACTTACTAACTGGCAACCAGAACTGAAGAGGGTAAACTCTAGTCGATTTTATTACTGGAGTGTAAGCTATGTACAAGTTAAGTATATATAGTTACAGCGAGGGTGGGTCCGCAAATGGCGGAGCGGAGCTAACGGGGTTTAGACATTAGCCAATTGAATATTACTGACGAGTTGGGTTATGGGGTTAGTGGAAAGGCAGGCGATAACCCAGAAACGGAAAGGAGGGATAGGCCTGAAGGTGGGCTTTGCAGGGCAAGTAATAATACTCTATTTTCTTACTCCTCTGAGGGGGGCAAAAAGTCGCAGAAAGGGTCTCCCTGTTATACTCCTTGGGTCACCTTCCTTTTTCACGCTCTACCTCATATTTACAGGATTTATTTACAGTGTATTTTTCTCAAACTGAATAAAAAATGAAAATTTCACGCTATAGTTCTACTGCGCTTTGCTGCGCTGAACTGCAGCTCTACTGCAGTCAGACTGCACCTAGAATCCTTATTGTCCTTCCTCGCTGAAGGAGCAGAGCTGGATCACCTTATGTAACCAGTTTCCTATGTCCAATAATGATATTAGAGTTTGTGCTGATTTGCATACTGACCATGTTTTGGTTGCCAAATATATAATCGTTCACTGTCTAAACAACAATAAACACCCCCCAACGATCTCACCTGATGTATAGATCGTCTATGGATAAAATTCTGTATTGACTTTACTATGATTTCTAGTCAATATTACACCTAGATATACCACTTTTCAGTAGGATGTGATTTTCCTGATAATTTACTGAAGGAAAACTACTAATAAAATAATTCCACAATAAATGTTACTCAATACAGGAGTGACCAAACTGCTCTTTCTATCGCTTAGAGTGCGTGCTAGTTATCTAGCAGGTTCAGGATCGCTCACTTTTCTCCTGTGGTGTGATAACCAAGTATTGCTGAGAGATTATTCAATTAAGAAGTCCCTCCACCAAATTCTCACTATGACACTTTTGTTCAGCTGTGTCTAACTGACCCTAACTCACGCTTAGAGTGACGTGTTAGTTTTATATTAGCTAACAACTAATATTTGCTTTTATCTTTTGGAGCAAATGAACCAACCACTGGTGAGGAGAATTAAACTTATATTTCTACCTGAGGTTTGAGAGGGGGCAGAAGCGGCGGCCTTTTATGCTTTTCAGAGGCCTCTCTACTCCCACGCCTCGCACTAGTTACATGTGCTACATTTGTATTATAGATAGTTCTAGAATGATATAGGGGCTTGGGCTGTGTAAGCTTAATAATGGACTTAGGACATGACTCAGCAATAAGTAATTCAGTTCTTTGTCTTTTGGGCCGATCTTAGCGGGGTCTTGTAGCGTTACAGCTATGCTCTACACCGCCTTAATTACGAACGGTTATCTTTAGAAATGACTCGGCTATAAAGGAACTTTCTAGGCTGTTCTCTAATTCACCCCTTTTTGTGAAGCCACATCATTACTAATGTTCTAGAGCTTTCCCAATTAATTAACTGATCCGCAGACTTCTGAATCACTTTATGCTTATGATCCGAGATCCAGATCATCAATCGTTCCTTTGTTCCGATTTATTTGAGCTTAAAATCAAAAGTTTTGATGAATCATGGGAAAATATACAAGATCTGGTTTTTTAGCATTTTCTCCTCTTCTGATGCGATCAAAAACTGTCCGCCCGCGCCGGGGAATACTCTGTCATATGGTATTCGGTCCGCCAGACTTCCGGGCGCCAATATATTTCCCTTGAGTCACATTACTTTTTATAAGAATTAGCAAATAAATATATATGAATTATAAGGTGTTTCGCCGTTTGAGCGATATCTCCGTCAGTTTTGAAGCTTTTAGAATGAAACAAAACCGTGGATAAAGTTTAGAAACAGTCCTTTCAGATGGTAAAAAGATTACAGTCCAAAGTTTACTGGTTCCCGAGATATTCACATTTCTTTCCCAATGTTCCTTCTTATTCTTCTGTCTATGTGCTATTTTCTTGTTGTAGGGATATATTCTTTGAATATTACACCTATGCCAGGTTCTAGGCATGCTTGTAGTAGATTAAATCTCATGCTACATGGGTGTAGATAATTTATAATGATCTTCTAATGTCTGTCCAGTCTCATAAAGATCATGAGATCTGTTAAACGTCTGAACTTGTCACCTGTTTGTTGACTATTCTGATAGATCATTGTTTTATTTTTTGAATATTATTTCTCCTACAGTGCCCTCTACACATTGGGTGGAGAAAATTGAATGTTTGAATGATTTTGTTCTCCTAAGGATGCAGAAGTGCAAAGATAATATGTATATACATTTTTGGAAATGCATATTAAATGGCCAGCATCATTACTTGAAAAGCTCTATGAGCTCTATGAGCTCATAGAGCTTTTTGTTTTTAAATAATGGATGGTCTTCATATCTCCATGAAATCTGCTTAGTGTCAGGGATCAGCAATGACCCTGGACCCTATGCCGGCTGCGCGTATGCGCGTGGGAAGTATGCCGGTAATTCCCGTCTACTCTGCTTACCTAAGCCCCAGTGACCCGGATCATCTCCGGCATTGTTCTGGAACATTCTATGATCACGTGATTCTATCGGCAATCTGTTTGGTTTCCTTATTGCCGGACTCTACATGTATATAGCTGACCCTAAGATGGGGACATCCCTTTCCCCCGGCTTTAATCACAACTAGGTTATCAGAGCATCTTGCGCGAGCACGCGCGTCCCCTGACACTTAGTTATTTTGGCACCAGTAGTGCAAAGATAATATGGATATATGTGTGTGTAAAATGGCCATTGTCATTGCTCTGAAAGCTCATATACCTTTTGTGTTTACTAAAATCAGCACCTTATTTGTTTATTGCTATTTACAAAATATGAGGAAAACTCTGAAATTCAAAAATTTGCACTTTATCTTTCATCTCATTTCTTGCTCAAAACTCAACTGATTTTGATGATTCTATGTGAATTGGAAAGCACCAAAGTGTGGCAATGTAACCATGCATGTTATGTAGGGTATAAATCAGTTTTAAAAGTGTTCCAAATGAAGTAAATTAAAAATACCACCCAATAAAGCAAACAAAAAGCCGATGTATTCTTCAGATATCATCCAAGCCTTTGACACCAAATTTCCCATGGCCAAAAAGCCATGGTTATTTGGCTCACCAAAACATGGTGGGAGACTTTTCTAACACTGAAACATACATTGCTACATTGCCCCACTCCCCTCATTCCCCCCCCATTTCCCCCCTCAATTTTTCCCTCATTCCCCACCTCATTCCCCCCCCCAATTCCCACCTCAATTTCCCCCCCATTTCTCCCCCATTCCCCCCTCCAAATTTCCCCTCATTCCCCCCCCATTCCCTCCCAATTTCCCCCTTCAAATTTCCCCTCATTCCCCCCCATTTCCCTCCTTCAATTTTCCCCTCATTTCCCCCCCATTCCCCCTTCAATTTCCCCCTCATTTCCCCCCCATTCCCCCCTCATTTCCCCTCATTTTCCCCCCCATTTCTCCACTCATTTTCCCGCATTTTCCTTAAGTAATTTCAGATTAACTGTATATGTATATCCCTAAATTTGGTCTATATATTAATTTGGCTATATACCCTTGGTGTGTAGTGCTGCATTGGGGGCTGAAAGTTAAGCTCAGTTTGTTCAGTTTCCTGCGTGGTGGGGACTTGGCTGTGACTCATCACATGATGCCAGAGTCAATGCTCTTAAATTTTAATTTTTGATATCGGATAAATTAAACACTCAGGGAGCTCATATAGATAATATAGTCCCCTGTGTGCAAATATAGCTCTATGAGCTTTGACTACTTTGGGGAGCTCTGAGAGAAGGGGACCTGCAATTTCAAAGTACTGAAACTCTGAGAGCTCTATGAGCTCTATGAGCTCTCAGGCCTCTGCATCCAGGTTTGCTGATGTACAAGAGACTGTAGCGCTGAGAGATCCAAGAAAAAGAAGAGAAATTCTAAGCTTGACTCTTTGAGTATTATAAGGAAATCCCTGATGATTGTCCAAGATGGACCAGGGGTACATAATTCTTAGCGAGTTTTGTGATTGTTTTTGTTTTGTTAGCACCCGGACCAAACCTAGGACAAGCTTAGGACATCCCAGACTTCCTCCCCACAAATTTGCTCGCATTTAGGGGGTTAGATCTCTAGCCCACTTGCAATGTGTTCTGAAGCCTGCATGCGATCTGTGTGTGGGAGTGCCCAAAGAGCAGAGAAAGGCCTGGTGAGAGCACGAGGAAGAGCCTGGAGAGCACCAGTAAGCATCTAGAATGTTGTGTATATGTGATATACATGTGAGAAGTGAGTAGAGTGGGCAAGCACGTGTTTGGATAAGTGCACATGAGTGTAAGGGATGGACAGGGATGGGATGATGCATGCTTTGTGCGCATTTCCCTTATTCTTTATTTCTTAATATTCCTCGTAATA